CACGGTTATTTAATATGACGAACTCGTTCCTAGTTAATATTAATCGTACATATTAATGACGTTTGCTAAAAATGTAATTTTAAAAGTATTGATTCGCTCCAATAACTTATTGTTAATGTCTGCTTATAATGATAATTTCAATTCATTCCAAGTGTTGAAAGAGCGCGCGTTGACAACGTGATGTCATCGTAAACATTTGATTGCATTTGAAAAATCCTACAAATTATATTAGCTCCGTTGTTCCGTAATTTTATGATAATTACGAATAGTCGTTTCGAAAATATTGAAAATCTTAGAATTACCAGACTAATATTTTAATCGATCGATCCTATAATTTCTCACGATAAATTCGTAATCGCGTCTTTAAATGAAGGGCCCATAAATAAATTAAACATAAAATTTTATAGAATTTTGTCGGAAAATTTTTATTTTGTAAATTATATAATAATATCTAGTCAATATCTTGTAAAAATAAAGTGTTTTACCGCTTACTCAAAATTAACAAAAAAACTTTAATTTTATGATTTTAATAATGTTGTTAATGTTAATGACTCTACGTTGTTCAATTCTCTGAATATTATGTATAAATAATTATTCTTAATAAAATAATATATTTCACTGCTCGCTGATATCTCCTAACTTCGAGCACGTAGTGTTGTTTCCGCCTAAATTTTTTAAGATTCTCTTTGTAAAAAGAATAGAGAGGACGTATCTTAGTCTAAATTTCTCTGACCTTTATTAAATAACGAAAAAGAAAGACGATGCTTCAAATAATTAAAAATTCGAAAAACGAGTTAATTTCTATATGAGCGACTATATTGACGATTTCAAAAAAAAAAAAAAATAAATAATAAATCAATAAACAAATAAATATAAAAGAAAACAAAAAAAAAGAAAACAAAAAAAAAAAATAAAATAAAACTTATTATTCGTTTGTCGTGATATTTTCGAATTTTCGTCTAAATGGCATAAACGTATATAATGAAAGAGATAGGAGGACGAAACGAAGCAAAAAATGAAAAAATGAAGAGAAAAAAAGAAGAAAAAGCCTTTCGACGTCGCTGCGAGAATTGACTAATGTACGCTTTTGCGAACTGCTCGCGATGTAGAATCCATACAATTTTTGCGACATCGGTTGATTGATGTATTATCGTTTAGCTGGCTATATAAAAGAGGGAGATCCGACTCTTGCGCTGATTTTATGTACTCACAAATACATGCATGCACACACAAATATATAAGAGACCATACACCGATACGCTGAAGGGCACATCGCATCTCTTTCTCTCGATGTTTTCGCACGCACTTTCATTGCGATCGAAAGGCGCCTCTACAAAATTATCAAACTTCCGTCATTCGGCTCGATTCTTATAAAATTAAATACGTCAAAATGAAATTTCAATCTAAAAAAAATTCCTTGTATTGTAATTTGATTTAATCCTTTCATTAATTGCTATTCATTCATGTCATTTTTTTTGTTTTTTTTTTTACGATTGTTTGTTTTTTGTTATATAGAAGTACAGAAATTACTTATTAAGAGAACCTATTTCTGATAAAAAAAAAAGAAAAACAAAAAAAAAAGTTGCTGTTTGAATCAATCGATTTTGTTAATTTGTTATTATTAACATTTCCAATCGTGAATGTTCACTCGTACGGAGATATTCTTATTTAACTAAAACTGATTGGCATAAAATACCATACTTCAATCAAAAGAAACTATTTTCATTATAGTACATTAAAATGAATTGTGAAAGGTTTAAAAAGTAAAATTCTAAGCAACAAATTATAATCTACTTTGCTTTCTGCTGAACTGCTATGTATTTATACTGTTTATTCGCTAAAGTAATCTAAAAACAAATATCTAAAATCAACGAATTACGCTCTCATGAAGAGCATAAGTATCATAATAATTTCAAGAATATAAAGCGAATTATGTGGTACATCTAGTAACAATAAAATTTACAGCGTAATGATAAAAACAAAATAAAAAATTTTTCATCCGTATTGCGTGCATTTTTAACTTTCGTGTTTATAACTTTGTATTAGAATATGCGTAATTATTATTATAAAAATATAAAACATAATAAAAAAAACTTGCGTGTACGTATATATATATATATATATATATATATATATATATAAGTATGAGCAGTATTTGTAATAGTTGTAAATTTTTTGAATGACGCGGAATTAATTCGATGCATTAACAAAAAATGATTGGACGTGTAAAGAGAATAAGCACAATTTCGGTATCATTGTGATAGCCTATAAGACGTTGTAGAGTAATATATTTTAAGAAACACAATTGATGGCATAATTTATTTTAAAAATTAAGTATTTGAATAGTTTTTCCCTTATAATCTTAATAGAATTAGTTAATTAATATTGCAGAATTTTATTATTATTTGAAAATCGTAACTATTATTTATCGAGCATACAAGCTTTTATTTAAAAATGCTGAATTTTGTTATTCTTATTACTAACATTTTAATGGCTTCTTCGTTTATAAATTTAAAGGAAAGAGAGTGCTATTACGAATGAAATTAATATTCATTAGTATGCAAGAAAAGAAAAATAATTCAATAGTTATGTACTTCCCAATCGAACATCGAATAAACGCGTCGGTTATTCCTATTTACAATATGTCAACTCGATTCTATTTCGTTTTAAGTATTTCGAATATCATACGATTGTATCTAAGCTTTGAAGATTATAATAAAATATTTTATGGCTTCGATTTATCATTAAAAAATCAATAAATAAATTATACGCCCGATTAAAGTGCACGGACACAAAAAAAAAAAAAAATATATATATATATATATATATATATAAATCATGATGAAAATAAAGTAATGTTATAATAATGGTAGCACATATCGTTTTGTTTCAAACAAAAAACAAAATAAATTACAATGCCAAAAGATTCGAGCCGAAACAAAAAGTTTTCGCTGTGAAGGAAGCAAAAAATAAAAACTAAAATACGAAGAAAAGTTTACAGATAAGATAAATCTGTGCATAAAGGCATTCGTTATCTTTGAACCTGCCTTTAAATACTTTTAATGAGAAAAATAAAGAAGCAGGATAAAAAGAGAGATTTCGCATGTACATATTTATTCGATTACGAAACTGTAATGCCAAAAGTACGATGAAGAAATCCATGGGAGCGAGACAGAGAAAGAGAAAGAATAATATATTCTTAACGGGGGGAGGGAGTAACCAAAACGTACCACTTGTATAACAACACATTTGATTGGATTGTAATTTGTAAAATACTTAATGGACTTCCTAATTATATGCTGGTATATGATAATACATGTGTTCTGCCACAATAAAGCAGTTTTTTTAAATTATGTTGTATTCATTTATTTATTTTCGCACCACTTTCCATTAAATCAATCATAAGAGAAAAGAACTGAAAGCGATTAATTAATTTAATAAACGTTATATTTAAGCTAATTATGAAATTCAAACAATTTATACGCGCGGTTACGTATATAAGAGTGCGCGCGCGCACATTAATTTTATCAATTAACTTTATACGTTTCATAATGAATGTAAATCATATCTCACTCGATTAAAATTATGCAACAAAAAACAAACAAGATTACGCATTAAAGGTTAGTTTTAATGTAACATTTACTTTTTTTTTTTATATCTATATTTCATATCTATAAAACATTTACTATAATACAGTATTTACAATTACAAAAGCGGATTTTATTTTATTCGAAAATTAATATCGTAAATATACGTCATTTTAATACGGTATAATTAAAAAAAAAAAAAAAAAAAAAAAAAAAAAAAAAAAAAAAAAAAAAAAAACTTTATATATCAATAATTTCTTTTGCATATGTATAAATATTCAGTAACATATGAGATATTATTAATATTAGATGTAAAATTATAAAATGATGAGTGTAATTGCATTAAAAGAGTCAGAATTACTTTTGCTGTATATTAACGCTTAATTGTAAGTTCGTACAAAGCCGTTAACATCAGTTTATATATCATTATGATTTTTTTCCACCCTACCGCTGTGAAATTGTCCTCTAAACACGCAATTGCAATGTACATTAATATCATGGTAACGGCCATTAAAATTTCAACGGAAAATAATCTATCATCCCATTACTTTTAAACGAGCAATTATAATTTTTTTTTTCGCTTAATGGCTGGAGGAAGAACAATTGACAAATAACTTTTTACGTAATTATTGTTTTGGCATACGAGTTTAATAAGTTTAAAAAATTCAACTTTGGAGTTAAATATGTAGGTGATTTGAAGTTTGATCGATGCGAGCTGAGCGCACAACTATCTATTGGTAAAGATTATAAAAGCAAATCTCTCAAATGGTCCTCCAACGGACCCGGAGAGATAACAACGAGGAGCAATCTATTATTAACTTCTAATCTAAAGTTATGGTAATGTTGATGAAAGAAGTGTTACGTTCGGTCATTTTCCTCGCAAAAAGTTCTGCTATTTAAATGTCGCTTGGCTTGCCGTGGATTATTTATCTGTTGATAATAAGCATAGGTAGGTGGGTGGTTGGTTGGAACTCGCTTCAAAGACTCATGTAATAACTTTGCTGTATAAGCGACCGTGAGTCCAGTTCGCTTGCTTACAAACCCTAATTTCAAACGTGCCGCCCAGGTGAGAGCGTGAGGAAGGAAGGAGGATCGCGCGCGCAATGTGACAACGTCGCCTCGCCCTGAGCGTCGATCGATCGATAGTCGCCGACAATGCTGGGACGAAGGCAGCCGAATTGTACCGGGAAGCAGCGAAGAGTCGGGATCTGTCGTAACGGCACTGAGTGGGACGAGGTGGGGTACACCCGCGGTCCCGTCCATATGGCAACGTCGCACGGCGAGAGAGGTCAGGCCTGGAGCGCTACCACGGGCTCGCCTCGGCCAATGGGAGCGTGGCTTTAACAGGACGAAGCACCGAGTCCGTTCGTGCCCACGTCGCCATTGGTCGGTGCGGCAGCGGGTGTCGCTAGGTGGAGCCACCGTCGAATTGGACGGTGGGTTTCGTGTTGGTCGGCACGGCGGCGGACCGGCGACGTTCATTGCGGCCGCGGACTATCGAACGGGTGCTCGCCGAGGCGATTCTTTGGCTCGCTGCGGGCGGGGCCTTTGGCGTGGACGAAGGAGGCAACGTCGCTCGGCGAAGCTGGCGCTCAGCGGGCCAAAATGTCGTCCCTCGACTACCTCGATCTTTGTAGGCTGTGTCTGGTTAAAGACCGTGTCTCGGTGCCCATATTTGAGGATGAGGGCGACGTGCGCCAGATATTTCTCAAGATCACCGCCTGCCTGCCGGTCAAGGTAAGCCTCTCTCGGCTCTATGTGCACCCGACCGCTTTTCCGCCATCTTTGTCGCCGCGGCCAAAGCTTCTCTCTTCTCCGAGGCGAATAATGTCTGACAATAATGCCGTCGATGAGCCGTGACATCGCATTCGAGACGCGCGTCCTTTTTCGTCCCGTCTCTTATCACTCTTTCTTCCTCACTCACTCACTCTCTCTCTCTCTCTCTCTCTCTCTCTCTCTCTATCTATCTCGTTCTTTCTTCGTACTCTTTCACATAAAGAAGGATGATATTCGCGTGGAAGTAGGAGCCATGACCTTGACATTTACTAGCTGGTGCCAGTCGGTCGATCTACCCTGGCGGTTTTATAGCTCCTCCCCCCTTCGCGCCCTAGCCACTCGCTCGTTCAGTAGCACGTTCCCTCCCCTCCCACTCTTCGCCATCCCTCGCCCGTCCCCGTGACTTCGTCAACGATGCTGCCGCCGCTGCCGCTTGCTACTACTGCTGCTGTACCGATTACTTTACCATCTGCGGGGGAGAGGTGATTTTTACAATTGAGCGGACGTCAGAAGCACTCCTACGCGATTGTACATGCGGCGCCCACTCGTACTTTCTCGGGAGGAAGTATTTTACCTCCGCTCCTTCGATTACTAAGAATGTCACGCATAAAAGCAACAAATCACTCTATAAAACGTGCCTATGGACTGCTCGTGCCCGCCACCTCCCTCGCGCACTCCCCCCCCCCTCCCGTCCAACGAACCACAGTCCCACCAGTCCAACCTTGTATTTTACGCGGCGTTTCGTTTCGGACCTTATCTTCGCCATTGCTCGGCGCATCTGCCGTCCTCGTCGCACGATAAAGAGTGGGAGGATGACCGAACAACCGAACCTTCGGCTTTTCCTCTACCTTTCCCTTCTCTCGTGTTTCCCTTTGTCCTGCTCGAAACACGAGATCCTTGAATTACACTTCTTTATTTACCTTTCTTTTTAATTAAAAGTTTTATACCTCGCGTGTACCCGTCAACTTCCACAGAGCTATGAATTACATTTTCGAGAGCCTGGAGATTCGTGTAATGCACAAATCGACATCGCACGCAGCAATAATAACCCTTTAAAGTCTTAAATACTTTAAATTAAATATCCTCTGGGTCTTTTAACACTAAAGCTCGAATGTGCGTGAGCATGGGCATGCGTTACACGTATCTCTTACATTATTTATGAGAATACATTTTTTTTTTTAATTTCAGGTCAATATTTACTTTTTGCTCGATGAAGCACAGGTCTCGACGGAATATAAAACCCCAATCGATAAAGATAGTGTAATCGTTCGTGTTATTGTTTTGCGAGTCTGGTTTTGCATTAGCGACGCGCTTAATGTCGAGAGACGACGACGTTGAGTTTTGTCTGGCTTCGTGAGCCTGTTGTTGCGTTGCGAGGAGCTTCTCAACAATCTCATCGCAAAAATGAAGCCGGCAGCGCAACACGTGTTGCCTATTTATTATCCAATAGTCCCTTTCAAAATATGGCGAAAAAAATCAATGCACATACGTACAGGCCTACATACATCGACGTTACACGCGCGAACGCACACCACACACATATATATATATATATATATATATATATATGTGTGTGTGTGTGTGTGTGTGTGTGTGTGTGCGTGCGTGCATAGTACGTGCGTGCATGTATGTATGCATGCATATTGCATTTATGTGCCTTGGTTTTATTGGCAGGGCAGCTTTCCTCTTCCCTCGAGTCCGAATCGATCCATGCCTTCTCTCTTTCTCTCGTTCCCTCTCACTCGCCCGTGTATGCATAAGCCCGCTTCTCTTTCTACTCCAATCGCCTGTAATCTCCATCGGCTTTCTTCTCTTTTTCACTGGCCATCTATCTACCTTGTCTGGCTTTTATGTCAGTACGCAATGCTTTTATTTTATTTTTTTTTTTGAGTGCACACATGTGTGGCATCGGTAGTGTCGGTGGCATCGGCGACACTCAAACCTGAAAGACTCGAAAGACTTGAGTCGACTTGTCTCGTCAGTCGCCGCTGCCGCCGCCGCCGCCGCCGCCGCCGCCGCCGCCGCGAAGACCACTATCACCACTACCACCATTTTGCGTTACGGGTTTACTTGCCGCTTCTTTCAGTCCATCTGCGGCTCGCCGAATTCGTGTTATGTATTAAAGGAAAAAGCCTCCTTAAATATGACAATATTTTCATTAAATTTATAAAAAAATTTTATTCCCAATGTGACAAAGATGTTTTTCAACATACCTTCAAATATTATCAGTCACCAGTTCGAAACATTTTTTAAGAAACGCCAATGTAGATTCATTATTATCTAAATATTTATTGTTTTAAGTATATTAATATACTTATCCTTTGGAAACCATAAGAATAACTGCAAAATGAGAAATAATTGAAATTCTATTTTTAATAAAAAAAGTTGTTGGTTTGTCACCGTTGTAAATTCATGTATAATATTGCTTTTATTACCTGTATTATGCATTGTTCACCTTAAGAAATAATTCATGTCAAATTTGTTATAAAAGTTAATAGGTTTTATGTATTATTTAATAAAATTATTATTACTTAATTTATTATTAATAGATATAATAGTATACATGTCAATAAAGTGTATTGATAGTAACTTCTTTATATTCGTAAAGTGCTAAAATTGTCGGATAATACATGTATTTGAAAAATATGCCTTTTCCATTTCGTTTATAAAACTTAAATATACTTTATATTTCATTGATATCACGTTTGATAAATAATACAAAAAACAGCAACTCATTTATGTTATTCGGTGTATAAAAAGGATGATATATTAGTACACATACATACATATACATATTTATTTATTTATTTATGTAACAAATTATATTTTATATTGCAGGTTTCACGTGAAGACAAACTGCCTAAGAAGATATGCGATGATTGTGTGTATAAAGTAGAATTATTTTATCAGTTTTGGAATACAACGGCAAATGCTGAGAAACAACTATTGCAATGGCTCGGTGAGGTTGGTGGCCTGGAGGATAACCAGAGTTATGTAACAGAAGTCCTCGACTCAGTAAGTAAACTATTATCTAATAACAATTATTACTTTAATTATCGAAATACAATTTTTGAAATAATAATATTAATATAATATTATTTAATAAATAACAAATAATAAATGTAAATAAGGAATCACTTTTGTATTGTATTTTCTGTAACAGAGGTTTCTTTTCTTTTTACAGAATGTGATGAAACAGGAGAGGAATAGTGATAATAGGTTAGATGGTAGTGTAATGCAAGTAGGTGGGCATCAAAATAACATAGATATAGGCATAATTGACAATATGTCTCTTATAACATTGCCCACTGGAAATGAACAATTTACCACGGTTCCTATGGACACCACAAGTACTGTACAAACGGTTCAAGCAGTTCCAGGCTCAAGTACACAAACGAGTCATGATCAAATTGCTCAAAATCAAGCTACTGTACATTTAGTTGAAGAAGATGAAGAGAGCGAGGAAGATGATAACTCGGATGAGGGATGTGACAACGAAGAAGGTAGCCTTTAATATTTTACTTTTATTGCATTTATAAATGATAATAATTTTATTATTTTGTTTATCAATGTTATAATTTTAATACTGAAGTTTAAATACTATAATAAAGTGTCCATAAATATGCTTAATTGACTCACAAAGACAAGTTGCATTAAATATTCAACTAAATAATTAATGGACTGTCTTAGTATAAAATAATGTTCATAGGAATAAGACCGTGTAATTTCAGTCATGTATGCATCAAAATAAATGGAAAACAAATTATTTAACTTCAAATTTGAATGTTAAAGGCCTAGCAGTTAAAGAAGAAACTGAAGAAGATCAAAGTGATCGACCCTTGGAGCCAACAACATTTGTAAACGTAGCAATACCTTGTGATGAAGCTGGCCCATCGGGACTTCAACAGCAAAAAATTTCAGAAATTTCTGAAATATCAATGCCTCAAAGCGCAGATGGTGATCCTAAAACTGGGTAAGTTCCTGACTTATATATACATTGAAAGCAGTCAAAGATGCAGTGTTGTGGTGTACACAAACATTTTGAATAATTAATTTGTTCTATTTTTTTAATGGATTTATTGCTAATGGGCCTCTATTAAAATTCAAAGTAGTAAACATAACTTTTAAATCTATAATTGAGAAATAATTTTTGTACTGAATAAAAATTCAATAGCCCACATTTTGAATAGGATCTGCATATAAGCATTTATTAGATTGGAAAAGTCGGAATTTTTTTAATTGAATTTTTTTTTTTTTTTTTTTTTTTTATTTTAAATATCTTGAAAAATTATCTCAATAGAATAGAGTTAGTCACCAATCAGTTTTCTGGTAAGGTGCAAATTTGCACAAGGTAAGTGCACACACTTAAATCCACAACCATCTTTGACTATGAGTATTCAGTAATTTGAGTATATGTAATTTCACAATGTGCATGATTAATATTTGTTAAAAAGATTTTAATCAGCTAGTATTATTCAAAAACGACATTTGAACAAATTACTGTATACTTAGTTATTATTTATGTGTACACATAAAGCATGTACCTGGTACACCTTTCAATGAATTAGAAAACTTATTGCATTTTATTCAATGACTTCAATAAATAAATACGAAAGTAACATTTTTCAAGGAAATGTGTACCGCATTAGATATTACATGTTTAATTGAACAGAGTGGTTTTCTATTCTTCGGTTTTATTTTAACGTTTATCGCAATGATATTTGTATTATTTTGAAAAAAATTTAAAATCTCTCTGTTCAAAATACAAATAATGTTTACATGTTGTCGATATAACATTCCCACGCTTACGTAAAGGCACTAATGCCGCACTTGATCAACATTGATCAAAAGACATCACTGACGATCGATAGGCTTATAAAATCGTATATACTACTACATAAGTTTTGCTACGCGCTGCGTTATAACGAATTTAATGTCGGTATTACGACCATATACTGGTAAAAATGCCAAACACTATATTTTACAAGTTCTAAACGAGTAAAAATAAAAGTACTCGATTAACACATCGATGGTTGTTCTCTGACGTCAGGACTATTTTACTAAAAAATACATTATTTAATTTAACAAGTTAATTTATATAAATCATATTTACATATAGTGTGTACGTACGTGTGCATTTGTGTCTATATATGTGTGTGTGTGTGTGTGCGTGCGTGCGCGCGCGTGTGGGTATGTATGCGTATATAGACACTGCTCATTCATATACATATTATGTATTTTTATGTATTTATATATTATATATATAGACTTGAAACAATGAAATCAAGCAAATCCTTCGCGTAAATCATGGCGTAATTTTGTTAACTTTGCTACAACTTGCAAAGAAAAAAGTGTGTATTTGAAAAGAAATTAAAAAATTAAATGAAGAGAAAAATGCAGCTGCAGATGAAGATTATGCTGTCAAGAAGCTGTGGTCTCTGGTCCAACTCTACATAATTAAAAGGCGAGTATCTCCTCTTTTATGTAGCTGTAAGATGTATTCAAACATATAAACGTATTTACAAACTTTCACTATATTACAATAATATATCATTTATTATTTTACCATGATTTATTATTCAAATTACTTATTGATTATTGCAATTGCAATGCTTTGAATTGTGATGACTTCAAGTGAGTTGCTTGTACGTCTGTTTTTCACATTCAATGCAATGATCTCCCATGACTAAATAAATTTGTGTCTCAAACACCACTTTCACAATTTCCCATATATTATGTATGAAATGGCTTATGGTTTGCCTTTACAACTAAAGCCGTGTGGCTCTTATGGAAAGTAATATTTTCTAGGCCGTTTCCATTTTTTTTTTTATTTTTCTGTCTTCAAGAAAAAGCAAATTTCGTTTTTAAATCGATGATGAAATTGTTACGAGATTTGAACCATATCGTTCAGGGTTTTATCTTTTAAGCGTACGTGTATTCGAACAAAACGATGATTTCCGTGATATATTCTATGCTCGTCTTGTTTCAATTTTTAATTTTGTATAATTTGTACAGAAAGTTGGACAAGAGTTTTCGAGTATAAATAGGTTATTAAAACGTTTTCAGCATTTCAATTATATTTGATTGTAATGTTAAAACATTGCGTTTAGTCAAATAAATTGATAGCGAAATACAGTTTACGATTTGAAATGAATTTTGTCGATCGAAGTGTGCAATATGCAATCGCGAGTGTAGTGTGAATATATTATTGTAAATTGAAGATATGATTTGAGAGTCAACACCCAAAGCTGATAGTGTTCATCGCTTTCATCATCATTGGGCAAGATGATGTTACATCGTATACAAAAGTTTAAGGTGAGGCATTTTTATTTAAAAATTTGTACTAACAAAATATATGTATCCAATTTCCTCTACTCCTTCCAAAAAAAGAAAGTTATTTATTAAATTTTAAGTCGTCATATTATCATATATATCTATATATATATCTATATATTTATATATATATATATATATATATATATATATATATAAAATTTCTTTTTGGTGCAGAAAAAGAATAAAACAGGTAAATAAAATCTTCACGAAATTAAAAAATGAAATACACATTATTTAATAAATAAATTTTGTGACTGACCATGACGAATAATATCTCTCTAAGCTTGATAATCGGCTTGTTCGTAATAAACATTTATCTCAAATTATATTAGAAGGAAAACAATATTTTTGACTGTTATAAATAATATTAAGCAATGCCAAAGCACTTTGCACTTCGCAGAACACACAAGCAATGCTGTTTGTATATCGTACATGTATAATGTGATTTTGTGAGGTACAATTGAACTAATGGAATTGAAAAAATGTAATCACTCATTTTTTTATTTCTAAGTTTATTTAGAGGAGTTTTCGCGTCTTATTGAAACTCTGTTATCACACGAATCTGCCTGTTTTATGTATTTTGTCTCTGCCTCATTGTTCTTCATTGTTTGTTTCAAAGTTTACAAAGCTTTGTAAAAAGTCCAACAAATCTTCTTAATGCATGACAGTGGTAAGCTCTATTGGTACAAATTATTCACATTGTTAAAAATTTATGCTTAACAATCACATCGACTTTTGTTTTGTGCCTTAAAATATTTATTTAACATGATGTTGTTAGTAATATTATTATTTTCTATTTAAAAAATATTTCAAATTCTACCAAATTCTTACTTTCGCTTAGTTTGTTTTTACTATTGCAGTTAAAGTTGCGTATTCTTGAAATGTGAAAAAAATTTCAAGAATACTTTTCACACTGAGAAAATAAGATTTTTTTACAAAATGGATTATAATATGAAACAAATTTTTTTTTTTTGCATATTTATAAATAAATGTGTGTGTGTGTGTGTGTGTGTGTGGGTGTGGGTGCGGGTGTGTGCGTGTAATTATATTTTTATAATGAACTGTGCGTATAAACAAGCAACTGTATACCAATACGCTGTAGAATGAGTATTTAAAATTGAAATATTTCTTATAATTATTGACGGTAAAAAAACAATGTTTTATTTACGTTGAAATTATAAAGTAGAGAAATTTAATCATAATCGTATAACGGATAAATATTACATTTAACAGATTCAGTTACCAATAATGAATACTTGTGCACATTTTAATCGAATTTATTACAGATAAACGCGAATGCTGTGCAATTCGAAGATGTATTTAACAATTTGTAGATTTTATTTTTTTTGTTGCCATAGCTATTGATTAAGAAAAAAAGTATTTATAGAAATTAGAAGAAAGCACGTAATCTAAAAAATATAGTAATAACATATTTTAACAAGTTTATGCTACATTTATATACTGGTGAAATTAATATTTTTTCTCTTCTTTTCAATAAAGCGAATAATCTATGCAATATAAATGAGAATTTATTGATTTTAACAATGCAGACAATAAGTTCCGAGAACATATAGTAGAAGAGTATCTCATTAAATGTACAGCCGATGTTGTATTCTATATATTTACCGTATTCCATTTTTGAAACACTAAATCTACGTTCAGTACTATTCAGTACTAAGCTTGAACAATACTTGCTACATAATTTATAATAAAAAAATAATAGTAATATATTTATATTATAAAATATAATTTTGCTAATATTTTCACTTAATAAATGAGTAACGATTAATCTAACTAGAAATAAGTTTAAATATACTAATTTTGTAATCATTATACAATAATTAATATATAAAATATTCGCATCAATGTACAACTATAAGGCTTAGAAGAGGGGAGGAGGGAATTTTAAGTCTAATTTTCTCAGTGCTGAAAACAATAGCTACCAACGACCGCTGCACTATAACTGTTTGCACTCAGAGGACTGTTAAGTTATATTCCATATATATTATATGAGCCATTTTATTAATTTGCTACCAGTATAAAATAATTGCTTATATTTAACGAAATGTAAAAACATTTAATTTATTTTAGTAACAGTTATGGCACCGATTTTATTCAGATTTTATTATATGCCTAATTAGTAATTCAAAAGTTTACGTAAAAGTGATCGGTTTCCTGTCTTTCGATGGCCTCTAATATACACTTGTAAAGACATACAATTTCAAGTAATTATTTTACATTTATAGCTAAAATTCATCATTAAAAGTGCATACCGACTTAAATAATATTGATAATACTAATTAACCGTATTTTAAAAAAGCATCAGTAATAATAATATTTTTAGAATAGTAAAAGCAAAAAATTATGCTGTTATATTAAAAAATATATATAAAATTTCAATTGCATTGGAAAACATTTTGCAGGAATTTGAACCTATTATTAATGATAAATAATCGTAAAGAAGAATTAAGAATACTAGACTGTAGAGCTAAACTAATCGTTTGCAAAATTGCATTTCTTAAAACTACCGTTACTGATATTAAATGGCTTAATTTTACTTGTGCTAAATAAAAAATATACATCTAGATCAATTATTTCGGATTACAAATAGAATTGAATTGAAGTTTACTAGAATAGAATTGAATAAATGCAATTCCATAACATAGATTGACAAATCATTGGTAAAATATAGTAAAATAAATTATTCGAATAAATATTGCACTATCACAAGTAATTCTTTCGTTGCATCATTATAAAGTAAAAATAATGAATTATTAAAATGATTTTTTTTTTTAGTTAACAACAGTGCCTAATTGGTTTAAAAAGTTTTTGACTAATGAATTATGTTTATGTATGAAGTTATGTAATATAAATATTAGAATTTAAAGATATTGAAGTTTCAAATTGATCAGTTTGTTTTCAATTTAGAGCAAGTGATAGATATCGAAGTACTGTGTACATTTATTATTATTATTTTTTTATACAATTATTCTTACGTTATAATTAGAATGTTTTTGTTTTCTTCGATCATTCAAATGGAAAATGTTGAAATTTTTTATTATAAAGAAACTAGGCATTTCTTATTGCTAAAAATAATTTTTATAATTTTCATAAGTAATTGAAAACGTCTACTGCTGCATACATTTATAAAAATGCTTCTGTTGAAATATTTAAAACTTGAATAGTAGGTAGTTTAAAACTTGTCATTATTAATTTCGTTAATACTATATTGAGAAAATCTATAATATTCATTTTTAGGATTTAATCTTAATATTAACATTTGAAATAATTGATTTAAAAGATCGCACTTTCCCTTAAAACGGTAGAATTATAGGATCGTAATTAGTTGAGAAGGTATATTAACAAATATTTTGCTAAATGCGAGTTATTGCTAAATTCTTTTGAAATTTTCTTTGATTTAACAAACGAGAGTATAAAATATACATTAATTATGAATGCAATCAATTGTAATAAAAAAATCGATGATTAATTTTTCAAATGTCCTTCTAATTATAAATCAATAATACATCTTAGATATTTATGAGGCCATCGACTGAAAGCCGTGATAATCTCTCTTATATAATGAGCTATTAAAAATAAAGGAAATTACCTAGTAATGCATAGTCTTAAAACATAAAATACTCTGAGTGCATTTACACATTTACACACTGTCTGGGCTCTTGAAATCCCCGTTAGATTTCGTGGCGTCGTCAATGTTTTTGGGATGATTTTATCGCTTTGCAGAGACGAGACGTTCGGTGGCCTCTCTGGCATGCTTCGTCAGATACTGTCCCCGACATCCGAAAACGACGAACTCAACTTCCCCGGAGCCGGCGGCAGTGGTGGTGGTGGCGGCGGCGGCGGCGGCGGCGGCGGCGGCGGCGGCGGCGGCGGCGGCTGCTGCAACATTCTTCAGCAGCAGTCGCCATTTCTTTTCAATTCTCATGCGTCCGTACTATCGTCGAGCCTACAAATGCCGCCCTCGACATCGCTTAGTCAGCATCACTTGATCTCGATGCAAGAGCAGCAACAACGACAACAGCATCAGGTCGCCTACCACGAGCACGTGCAAATATTGACGGAAACGCATTTGTGCCCCAACTGTGGCGTTAAGCTCACTTACCACATCAAGATGAATAATCCGCATCGCGAGCAGGTCGATCAGATGCTAGACGTCGGTGAAACGCAATTGATGCGCTTTACGTGCCACGTGTGCTCCAGGACTTTTCTCGCGCAAAGTCACATGAAGCCACCTAATGAGCATCAATCACAACCGCCGCAGCAGCAACAGCAGCAACAACAACATCAACAACAACAACAACAACAACAACAACAACATCAAATTGCTCACATCTTGTCCAGGATGCAGACAGGCTCATCAAATCTCGTGAACGCATCGAATCCCAGTCAGACGCATTACCAAGCGACGAGTGGCACTGGGGGACCGATTCACCAGACCGTGTCTACTAGCCAAGACAAGAACTTCTCCTGCGAACGCTGCCAGGCGAGTTTCCGCTACCGGACGCTCCTCGAGAAGCACCGGAAGATGCACGAAACGGTCGCTGGTCAGGATAAGCCCTACTCCTGCTCGCGCTGTCACATGAGATTCGAGACGCGGAATTTGTACAATCATCACGCGAAGACGCATAAACCACTGGTCGGGCAGCCCGAGAGGTCCGGTAACACCAACGCCACTGTCTCTGGTGCCACCATACCGATTGGAAAAGACAGCACCGGCAGCGTCCTCTACGGCAAGACTAACAACGCCTCGTATGCCTGCGAGACCTGCGCCAAGGAGTTCCCCACCGCCGAGTCGCTCGCTTCGCATAAGGCGGTACACCGCTCCAGGCCGCTCATTTGCGACGTTTGTGGCAAGGGCTTCACGCATCGCAAGTATTACGTCGTTCACCAGAGAATACACACTGGCGAGCGGCCCTACCTATGCGCCATGTGTGGAAAATCATTTACCCAGGCATCGACCCTCACGGTTCATCGGCGCTACCACACGGGTGAGAGGCCCTACACTTGCACACTTTGCGGCAAGGGCTTTGTCACTCGTACCATCATGCTCAATCACATGAAGAAGCATTAAGAAGTATTAACGAGGCTCCGTTTGGCGAAGGTTTACACTTTCTAGTGTCATTTAGGATTATGTTTTTCTTGGGAGTTTGTTCGATGCTAGTAGTCTGATTAGGATTAGGTTTGCAGCTGATAAGCAATTAACATTGTTGGGTAATTTATAATTTTCTTAATTCAAACACTGCTGCTTAGATTTTTAGTTTCTCAAAACATCGCTCGGAAATGGAAAGTTTATATTCATTATCATTATTATTATTATTATTATTATTATTATTAAAATCAAATTTTTATTTATTGAACGTTGTGAATATATTTGACACTTTTGCATTATTTTGAGGAAGACAGTGGCGTGATATCTTATCTATACTGTGACAATACAAAGTTATACGAAAATTTAAACTGTAGAAGCCAAATTTAACTAATGAAGGTACAAAACAAAAACAAAATAGCTTTAGATATTTCTAAGTGTCAAATTGGATACTCGGATTTTTAATGTAGGAAGGTATCGTCGAATACAGTCACTGTGATATATCGTTTCTACGTATACGAATACAATATGAGGTAATCAAATTGGACGTAAGAACGTAAATATTGTTAACAAAAATTCTAAAGTGAAAGCAGTATATAGTTTTATGTAGAAATATAATGATTGTCGAGAGAAAATTTTAAATACAAAAAATAATTACTATGCTCGGTAAAATCCTTTCAGGATTTATCAGGGAATTCTGCGGTGCCTTTAATCAAATTACTAAAAGTGATATGCAGTACTCAATTCTGTACTCACAATTAATCGAAAAGTGCCATCTATACCCATCTTGGGATAATAATGCAAATATTGATAATAAATATTAGGCAGCAATTCAATTTCTAGGTGTGAATTTTAATTTAATTAAAACTATGAAATAATTTACTTGTAGTGGGTAGTGTCAACTAATAGAATTAAAATATGACCTAGTTATATAAAATTGCTGAAATAAAATTAAATTAATGAATTATCTATATATATATATATATATATATATATATATATATATATACACACATACATACATATGAGAATAGATGTTAAGATCAAATACGCTTAAACGTTTTTTCGTAAGGTAATTTAAAAAATATTAATGGTTACTTAAGAATCTAATCACAAAATAATATTACAATAGAAATTGTGTTTTAGTCATTTAAATAATTTATTATACAAGTTATTGTCGCTTCTTTGATTTTATATATTTAAGAAATTTTAAAACAATTTTATACTGTAATATAATTATGATGAGTATAAAATATAAATTTATATTGTAGTTGTAATTTTTTTTTTATATTTTACGGTATTGAAAATTATTATATTGCTATTTAATTTCAAAGTTTAAATTGTTGAAAAAATTATTCTTACATTCAGAAAGCAGAATATTGATTATGTAGTTGTACAAAATAATTTTTATTGTTTTTAATATTTAAGCTTAATTAGTCGATATAAATGCGATAAATAAATCTTAAATGTAATCAATTTAAGTGATTAGTAATAAAATTATCGAGCTTAGAGAGTTGATTCGAAAATTTGAATTTATCAATTCACAAAATCATAATTTATTTAGTTTTTTTTTTTTTATTTATTTAAAGCAACTTCTGACATGAAGAATAAATGAATATTTATAATTCATCAGGTAAGAGTTAATTTGTTGTAATCGATATGTAAAACGTGTTAAAATGATAATAAAAAATTGTAAAAATAATCTTCATACATTAATTTTCATCCTCAAGATATTTTTAATACATCTTTACGTTTATGTACTTTTCTCTACATTACATCAATCAAATTCACAATTCAAATTTTTTAATTTTAAAATTCATAATAATACTTTTCATTTCTTTTATGTATCTATTTTTACACAATTTTTCGTACATCTGGTGCAGAAATACATTACTTTGTTTCATATATTCATATTTATGTATCTTCAATAGTTTTACAAATTCAAAATGCAAAGATTTTATTATTTTTTTTTTCCAACAACTATTCAACATGTGCAGTATCTTACTTCTGTATCATCTTATAACCATAAACTGTGGGTATATATGCAGGTAGGTATTTTCATATATTAAAAAAAAAAATTATAATTTATTTATGAAGTTAGATATATTTCAAATATATTGCCCATTTCGCTTCTAAAGTTTGATATATTTCCAATTTATTTCGATTTATTGCCCACAATTTTAAGTTGTACGTAATTTTCTTCAGTAATAAAAATAATTTGTTTTATTATTATTTAACAATATTGTTCTCTTTAAACATTTAAAAAATATTTTAAAATGAATATGGAAATTATATTTTAATAAACTTTCGATCCTTATGAAACTATTTGTTGTAAAAGAATTGCATATATATAATTTAGTAAAATTCCAAATTTGTATTTGAGAATATTGACATCAAGCAGTATTCTCATAATTCAACATTAATACAAAATTATACTAAAGTTCTTCGAATAAACTTTATATTATCATACAAATTTGTCAACTTAAATGAATTGTAGTAACAGAGAATTAGTTTATTTAAATGTGAACGTATTGAAACTTTGCAAAAAGAAAAAAATACTTATGTTAAATTTAAAGTATGATTGCTAAAATTTAATATCCAATGATTATCATTTAAAGTCCGTCGATAGCTTTTTTATTATTGAAAAATATTTTTTAAAAAATTCTCACTCTCCATTAAGAAAATTCGTAATAAATAAAGCATTGTTTAAAAGTAATTTTATTCTTGATCATCGATATCCTTAATATGATGCTTGATTACTTTGAATTTATATTTTTCGTATAAACACATAGCCAATATCTTATTATATTTCTAGAAATAATAATGCGTTAAGGAATCTGATTATGTACTATAATACTGTCTATACTCGATGTAGCTGACGTCAGAATTTTTATGAAATAAGAACAAATTTAAAGACGATAAAAATAATTTGTAATACCAAATAACAGTTGTAACGGCGGACATTAGAGAAATATTGAGTGAATTTATTATTAAATAAAAAGTATTGACATGCTCGCGTATAATTTAAGAACTATTCAATATAGCCAACGATGATCGATTGTTAATACGTAAACCAATAAATAAACTTAAATGTAGCGAGCCAATGACTGGATACGTTTAATTCATATAAAAAAAATCGAATGCCTAACATTCACCAGTTACCATTCGTTAATTAATTACATAATGAAATGTCACGTTAAATTAATAACGTCAGTTTCGAAACGCGTGAATGAATCATTAATCTCGATTCAACAAATTACCTATATTTAATGACGTAACGGGGTCGGAAAAGTTCTTAACTCCGGTGCGCCAACTCCGAAAGACGTCGATTGTACTGCAGTGCCACGGCACTGCCCGTACTCGTGAGCGTAGCGTCCGACGACAAAACCGAAACCGAATAAGTCTCGCTTGACACGCACGTGGGAACGATCGATCCGAGGAAAAAGCAAACAAATTCAGCGGCGATAAAAACCTCACCACGACTTATCGTAGCACGTGTCTTTCTTTCCAGATACTTCGTGGCTAAGCTCGCGATGCTGCCGACGCAAGACGGCGAAACGGACCCACAAGCCGAGCTCAAGGTCTTCAGTGCGGAGGACGAAGCCTCGCTCCTCATTGCCGCGCAGAGCCTGAACGAGAAACCGAACAACGGGCTCGTGGTCGTCTCGCCCGAGGGCATGTTCCAGTGCGCGCTCTGCGGCGAGGTTTTCGTCGAGGAGACCGGCCTCGAGCTGCACCACCAGCAGCATCATCAGCCGCACCATCCGCACCAGCAGCATCACCACGAGGAGCAGCTGATCGCCGAGGAGAGCTCGATCATACTGTACGCGTGCGAGCACTGCAGCCAAACGTTCGACAACGAGACCGCCTCCCTCAAGCACCAGCAGAATCATCACCTCGCCAACGGCGTCGTGGTCGGCGACCGCCTCTATACCTGCGAGATCTGCGGCTATGCGAGCGCTCACCGCCAAAACCTCGCCAGTCACCAGCGTCGCCACAATCTCGAGTACAAATACCAATGCGAGAGTTGCGGTACCGGCTTTTACGCGCGTAACAGCTACCAAGAGCACCAGGTAGTTCACTCGCGCGAGAAGCCCTTCCAGTGCGAGATCTGCCAGGCGACCTTCCGCTACAGGCAGGGTCTGCGTCTGCACGCCAAGCTACACCAGCCGGATTACGTGCCACCGCAGAAGAAACACTGCTGCGAGGTCTGCAATAAGCGTTTCTGCCGCAAGCAGGTTCTCCTCGTGCACATGAGAACCCACGGGAACGTGGCACCGCAGAACGAGTACGTCTGCCACGTGTGCGGCAAGTCGGTCTCGAGCAAAACCTACCTCACGGTCCACGTGCGCAAGCATACGGGCGAGAAGCCCCATGTCTGCGACCTCTGCGGCAAGGGCTTTATATCCCAGAACTACCTAAGCGTCCACCGTAGGACCCACACGGGCGAGCGGCCCCACAAGTGTACACACTGCGACAAGCGTTTCACCCAACGAACGACCCTTGTCGTTCACCTCAGGAGCCACACGGGCGACAGGCCTTATCCCTGCACATGTTGTCACAAGAGCTTTGCCTCCAAGACAATGCTCAACTCCCACCTCAAAACGCACGCCAAGCAGAACGCGAGGGCGCAGCAGGAGCAGCGCACGCAGCTGCATCTGCAGCAGCAGAATCTACTGCTGCCGCCCGAAGTCGACATGATTGACCAGCATCAGCAAGTGGTTATCGTGGAGCCTGACGCCAACACTATCGCCTTGATACCGAGTTAGGTCGCTTACGAATTCGCCCCTTCGGCGTTAGGTAGCGCAGCTGCAATTTCTGTGCAAGATAGCCTCGTGGTCCTGTGCGTGTATGTCTGTTTTGAAATTGATTTGAAAGTGACTGGATGGAGATTAGAGTTTGTGACGTTTTTATATGCGATATTCCGAAGTGACCTTTGCCACTTCGCATCTTTCGAACACGACTTCCATGGGCTCAAGACGTTGGTTATAAGCAATTTTATGCGTTAGCGCGTATGTTTATATAGAGATGATGCCTAAGTCAATTAAATCTATGGGTATAAGAGATTGTATGGGTACGTTAAGGAAAGAGAAGAAGAAAAAAAATGAAAGGATATTGACT